CAGCAGGCTGTTATGCAGGCCTCTGTTTATCCATCTGCTGAATGGACGCAGTAACACCCATTTCCCAAGGGTTGTCTCTGTCAGTGTGAGAAGGGAATGAGGTGAGGTTCCTGGCACATGGCCGCTTTTCTGAAAAGATGGCCCCGGGCCCCAACCCCTTGCTTCCCTGCCAGGCCATGGGAAGATCAGGATGCCTAGGGCAGTGCCCACCGGGAGTTCAAGGGAGTGGCGGGCAGGGCAAGCAGCCCCACTAGCAGTAACCCAGGCTACAGAAAGCTGGAAGGGCTGGGAAATGAAGTGCTTTGGGGCTTGGGAGCAACAGCTCATTCTCTCCAGGAGGGAGGTAGAGGCATGAGAGGGTGGACTTGAGCAGAGCCTCAGTATCCGCTGTGGGGCAGTGTCAGGAAAAACATAAGTCATAGTCCCCGCTGGAGCTGGCGTGTCCATGGGTAGGATAGTTCCCTCGGTCTCCAGAGCCAGTAGTCAGTGAGTGCTGGCCCAGGTTGCCTGGGACTCTACGTTTGACAACACAGACAGCTGTTGCTTCTTACTGCTGGGAAAGTTTGTCTCTACATCGTCCCCTGGCATAGAGGCGTGGCCTGAATCATTGGCTTCAGCAAAGGGAGGGTGTGGGTTGCTGGGTCCAGTGCTCTCAGTCTTGGGGCCTAGGACCTGCAGGTCACATACCCTAGCCTGGAATCCTGACAGTGTCTCTCTCTTTGAGGAACAGCCCGGGGGGCACAGGGGACTGAACAGGGTTGACAGCTCTTCTGTGAGGAGAGATAGGAAGCAGGGCAGGGCCTGTCACCAAGACTGTGTGACAGCAACTCGGTACAACTGGTTGAGTGAATAGATTCTCCCTGCGCCTGGCTCTCCTGGCTCACAAAGGCTTTGACTATGACAGTGATGCCTTTAGGATCCTCCCAGACAAAACATAGGAGGATCACAGGTTCCCACCATGTCCCTGTCATGTTTGTGTAAACATAGCTAACTGCAGTTGCTCCCAAATTCCCCACCTGCCTCATGGTGTCCAGGTCAGGTGGGACAGCAGTGCCTAAAGATGGGTGGACTCTTGCCTGTTTCTAGTTCCCTGGGAAGTTTGGAGGCCGGAAGCCTATGGGCTCAGAGCACATCTGCAGTTCCCAGCCCAGAAACGATGGGAGAACAGACCCGGGCTGTGAGGTGAGCAGCAGTTGGTCTCTGACTTCTGTGCAGGCACGCACACACCCACACACACTAAAGACAGAGGGAGTGAGGAGGGGCTGAGGAGGTGGTGCGGCAGTCACAGGTGAGATGCATCCAAGCCCGGGACCTGAGCTGCACTCCAGCAGGGAGAGGACCAGCTCCTGCAAGTTGTCATCTGGCTGCCACATGAGCCCTGTGACACACAACACACACATGGGCACACACACATGCACGCTTGCTCACACACACGCACGCGCGCACACATGCATACGCGCGCACACACGCATGCAGTACATCTATACACACACGCATGCACGCACGCACACACACCACACACACAGGCAACGCACGCACGCACGTGCACACACACGCATATGCGCACACACACGCATGCAGTACATCTACACACACGCGTGCACGCACGCGCACACACGCATGCACACGCATACACTCACTCACACACGCAGTAAGTGACATTTTAAAGTGAGGAAGCCTAGGGTTAGCTGGAGAGCTTACCTGGCCTGCCCAGGCCCCACAGCTGACCTGATCGTGTAGTGGCAGCAGACGTGGAAGGCTAGAGGGCGAGCAATACGGTTCTTGTAGAATTCTGCTACCTCCCCACGTTTCTATTGCATTGTAGTTTTCTTAAAGGTGCTTACAATCTGCCTGCTGCTTTTAGGACATAATGAATAATAAAAAACCTTCAGATTTCAAACCCTCTGGGTATTTTTTCACACACACATGACTGTATCCAAATTGCAGAAAAATAAGTAATTTGAAAATAGTGAAAAAATGGTTAAGGAGGTAAAGTGGACATTATAGATGAGCCACGAGTTTTTAAAACTTTGGAGGGAGGTGGGGATGGAGACTGGAGAGATGGCTGAGTGGTTAGAGCACTGGTTACTCTCACGGATGACCTGGGTTTGGTTCTTAGCCCCCACATGGTGACTCACAGCAGTCTGGAACTCGAGTTCCAGGTGATCCAGTGCCCCCTTCTGGCCTCTGTGAGCACGGGGCTCATGTGTGCAGGCAAAACATTCACATACAAATATTGTTATTTATGTGTGTGCGATGGCATCCATGTGAAGGTCAGAGGACAACTGTGAAAGTCAGTGTCTTTTCCATCACTTAGTTTCAGGGGTAGACTTAGGCTGGTCATCAGGCAAGCATCTTTCTCCCCTTGTGCCGTGGCCTGAAATCTTCCTTCCTTCCTTCCTTCCTTCCTTCCTTCCTTCCTTCCTTCCTTCCTTCCTTCCTTCCTTCCTTCCTTCCTTCCTTCCTTCTTAGACAGGGTTTCTCTGTGTAGCTTTGTAGACCAGGCCGGCCTGGAACTCACAGAGCTCTATCTGCCTCTGCCCTCTGCCTCCCGAGCGCTGGAATTAAAGGTGTGTGTTGTCACTGCCTGGCTCTGAGATCAATTTTTAATGTCCCTAAAGTGATTCAGTTATCCTGCATGACACAAGCAATCAAGAGACGGAAGCAAAGGACTTAAGTCCAGAGACATAGTAAGCAGAGGGCAGAGGGAGGAACAAACTGAGATGACCAGCGAGCTGGCTGAGGTCGCTCTAGGTTACAGGAAACAAATTCTCTAAAGGACAGCCATCATTGCACAAACGCTCAGTGCTCCACCTGAGAACGGAGGCACATCCCTTGGCACGAGGAGCTGCCGTGCACTGAAGCCCGTGACCAGTAGGAGTGTGCTCGCTCTGTAAGTGTTTGTTTACGGAGATGGCGCTAGCAGCTGGAGTTGTGCCGGGCACTGAGCTACCTCAGTGAACAGAGCCGTCCACTGGTCCCGATGGGGCTGGTGTTCTGGCCCCCGGATGAGTAGACAGGTGTAGCATCTATTTGTGATGATCTCATCCTTCTGCCGTACTGACTGATTGCGGCAGTCAGAGCCAGCATGCCAGGATAGCCAAAAGCAACAACATGCAACGGTGCTTGCGTCCTTGCCCTCTGCCACAGCTGATTGGTCGAGAGGAAGAAACCACCTGGAGACTGAAGCTAGCCCAGTCAGCTTCCTTTGCTGGTCTGGGGTAGGTAGGATGCTCGGAGCTGGGCACCCATCGTCAGCTCAGGCTGAGTGGTAGCAGGGCTTGTAGCTGAAGCCAGGCTGCCCTGGCCACCTTTGCAGTGTGGCTAGGAGAATGGTTCCAGCCCTCCACTCCTTCTCCAGACCGCAGTCAAGCTGGATGAGAAGGGGCTCCAGGCCCAGTGCATGGCAGGGCCCGCCCAGGCAGTCGGTGTTGGGATGACGTGGCTGTAAACCATGCTGTGGACCACAGACGCAGTGCCATCCCCATGGGTTTCCTTTCCGCTTCTTAATCCTTCTCCTCAGACTCAGTAACAAAAAGCAGATCTCTTTTGGGGCCAGCCATGCACAATGGGCTGGGAGAATGCAAGCCTGGGATTTACCACATCAAGATCCAGCCGGCCTCTCACTTTTCCTTTCCCCCTGCCTAGCCACTATTAGCTGGACAGCCTTCCTCCCCCATGGTCTGGCTCACTCACCCTCCTTGGACCCTGCATCCAGCGTGGCTCCAACCTCTATTTTGGATCTTGGACCACATCTTGGTTATGTTCCTACCAGCATCCCGGGGCCTCCAAGGCAAGACATACAAGGGTCTGTGGTTAGCTGTCCTCCAGCCTCATGGTTTGGCTCCCTCCCGCTTGCTTTCCAAAGCCAGACTTCAGTAGGAGCAGCTTCTGTTGGTAGGAGAAACAGGGCTGCTCTGGGTTCAAACCCCGACACTGCCAGTGTGTGGCGCTCACTCCACGCTCTGTGTGGCTCCCCCTCTCCCCCTGACACATCAGAGGTGCCTGATAGATTAGATGGTTTGCTTTAACAGCAGCATGGTCTGCTTTATCAGGGGTCTTGCAGAACAGGAGCTGCATCAAGATCTCTGAGTATTTTTCCCATGTTCTGGGTGGGTTCTTGGAACCCTCATGAGCCTCTGCACTTGCTCTGACACACACACACACACACACAGAGACAGACAGACAGAGAGAGAGAGAGAGAGAGAGAGAGAGAGAGAGAGAGAGAGAGAGAGAGAGAGAGAGAGAGAGAGAGAGAGAGAGAGAGCGAGCCTGGGACTTGGAGATGGCCTGACCCAATAACTCATGGTTCTCAAGATGTCCCAGGGTCCTCAGTGAAAGCAATACTCTTGGGTCCTCTGTCTTCACCTCCTGATGCTCGGAATCACAGATCTCTGATGGCTTGTTTTCTGGATTGGCATTCTACAGGCCCATTCTCATTTCCACTTAGAATAAACAAAAAAACACAACAACAACAAAAAAAAAAACAAGGGAGCAGATTATTGATGTCCTCCAGATGATGAGCCTTCTGTCAGATGTGGAAACCTAGGACTGGAGGAGTGACTCTGTCAGGTCACCTGGGTGGCAGGTGATGGGCCTCAGGACTTGTGGAACAGGGTGGAGACATAGTGAAAACTCAGACAGACAGTTATTTCCAGGGAACCAGGGAAGGCCCACCATCCACGCACCCCAGTGCCCCACAGTAGCAGGACTGATTCTGCTGTCCCTCACAGGTGTGAATGTGGGGTTCATGACGTCAGCACCAGGTGCCCCCGAGCTTAAAAGGGCTTTACTTCCTCAGGTTCTTGGAGGTGGAGAGAAGGGGGACAGTATGAGCTTTGGGGACAGCTAGTCTTGGGTCCAACTCTGGCCCTGTTGTCTAACTGAAAGACTGCCTGGGCAGGATGGGTTTAATGTCTCCAGAATGTTCTGTGAGCGTCAGCATCCAGCTTCAAGGTGAATAGGGGATGTTGCTGATAAATGTTTTGGTTTTTTTTTAGGAGTGACCTGCCACAGGCTACACCATGGACACTGCTCTGGGTCTCTTCCCAGTTGGGCCTGAGGAGAAAGAAGCCGAGGCCACCAAGACAGCCAGCCTCACTCCCTGTCTTCTTCAAGATGCTACCAGACACTCAGCGCACTTACTGCCTCTCAGGACCACCCAGGACCAGGACAGGGGCAGCCTGCCTCCCTCTCAGTCGCCTGCTGTCCTCAAGCCATCCAGGGTTGCTTCAAATTTTGCCTTCTGACTGGTGGGGCAGGCTATTGCCAAAGATTCTACAGAGATTGTCCGAGGAAACTACGGGATGAAACCCCAACAGCAAAGCCGCACCGCTGCTGCCCAACCGAGTCCACCTCAAGCCAAAGATGGATTAGCACTTCCGCCAGGAACTCACGCAAGGAGCGGACAGTTGGTGACCTTCAGAAGCACTTAACCCTCTGAGCCAGTGCTCTGTCTGCGCTGGGCCCCAAGCCGGGTGCAAGACAGGCTTTCCGGGGCCGTGACAGGCAGGCTTTGTGCCTCGGTGTGGTGGAAGGTGGGGTCTGAGATCCCTGTCTCTTCCCATTAACTACCCAGGCCTCTGACCCCATGCCTGATATTCTCTGAGTCCTGAGGGGAAAGGGGGGAAGTGAAGAAGCAACATTGCTCCATTCTCCACCCGGGACATGCCCCAAGACAACCGGTCTGAGGGTTCCCAGAGCCTGCCCCGCCAGGTGCTCACCAGTGGCCGGCACATAAGACAGCACCTTGCTGTAGGTCAGTTGCCCTTGGGAAGGCCAGGCAAGAGGACTTGGGGAGGAAGGGACCAGGCGAATGGGCCAGTGTGTGGGGAAGGGGGCGTGTTCAAAGCCAGTGCCTGCTCCATGTGCTAGAGGCCAAAGCTGTTCACATGTGTGTGTAACCATCTGCTTCAAATTGAAGTAAAACCTGCAGCATAAAGAGAGTGCTGGTGTGTCTTGAGTGGACGCGGGGCTGAGCAGGACTTTGGGCACTCATTAGCTGGGGGTTGTGAGGGAGGGGCGGGGAGTCCTTCAGAAGCAGCGTTGGTGAGAGAACCCCCACCGTGGCCTTGGTCAGACTCTGCTTAGGAGGGCTGGCCAGGTCGTGTGAGAAGCCCTCTCTAACTCACCCTTCACTTAGCTCCCACCACAAGTTTTGTGTGACCGGGATTGCTCTTACTGTCATTTTCCAAATAGGAAAACAAGGCCCCAGGAGACAGGGCCAGTCATCAGCAGAGGCAGCCCTTGAACTGGGAAGGCCCGGCTCCAGGCCCCACGCTCGCCAGTCTTTCCCAGTTCCAACGCATCACTCTTGGGTGGCCTTGTCCCTTCCTTTCCTCTGAGGGTCATTTTAGGATAGAGACAGGATGGGGGAAGGGAATCCACTGAGGAGAAGGTTAGGGTGTTGGGACCGGATGTGGGGAGTGTGATGTAGTCTCCCTGACACAGGTTTCACATTCACTTCACGGCGTCACACTCACCTCCATGTCAGGGACCAGATGATAACACAGCCACGGCCAGAGCCATGCTGGTTGCTGGAGGAGAGCAGGACCCAAGCCCTTGCCTGTGGTCCCGGCCAGGGCCAGGGTACAACGGCTTAAGTTAGGATAGGCTGGCTGGGCTTGGAGCGATGACCCTGTGGTGAAGAGCTGTTGATCTTCAGAGGACCCAAGTTAGGTTCCTAATACCCACACTGGGCAGCTCCCAGCAGTCTATAACTTCAGCTTCAGGGGAGCTGAGGTCTCTGTGGGCACTATATTCAAATGTACATACCCACGCGCAGACACATCATTAGAAAGAAAATAAATCTTTTGTTGGGGGAAGTCCTGTGCATTTGTCAATAAAGTACTGTTGAGCCTATAGGAAACCTAGATAGGAGGGACTAGGAGTCCAGGAGAACTCTGGGAAGGAGAAAGACAAGAGAGTCAACATGTAACGCCATTGGGGGTAGGAAGCCTGGAACTATTCTCCGGTAAGAGACATACTTAGATTAACAATTATGGGGTAATTACTTAAGGCAGAGCTAGCCAGTAAGGGACAAGCAAGGCCAACAGCTTCATAATGAATATAGCCTCCTGTGTGTTTATTTGGGACTGATGCGGCTCTAGAACCATGCTGGCGCGGGAGAGCCCAGGCAACTGGCGGGAGATAAACCAAAGCGGCTAGCAAAGAAAAAGCTTCTCTTAACAATCTTTAAAAGAAGAGGAAACAAAAACAAACAAAGGAAACGAGACCAGGCATGCTGCAGACTGTCCCAACATCTCTCAAATCTGTAGCTTCTACCCAACTTATTAGAGCTCCCATCCTGGCTGGACCAAGTCCCATCCCAAGACCATCAGTCCTTTCTCGAGTCCCTGTTTCCTTTCCTGTGTTTTCCCACGGAGCGAGGTTCTTTTCTGGAGCCCCGTGCTTGCGACAGTGGAAAGCTGTTCCTTTCAGTTCTAACTGGGCAGTTCTGTCTGCTGCCGGGCCTCTGGCTCCCCTGGGAATTTAAGTTCTCTTGAGCCACCCTGGGGCTGATGGAGAGGTCAGACTCATCCAGCAGCGATGACCTGGGTTCACGCCCTTCTATCATGGGACACAGTTTTCCTTTCACATACAAATAAAAACATCACCCCGCCCCCTGTGTACCAAGGAAGCAGGCACAGCCCACTCACACCCCAGATCCCTGACCACTCTCGGGACTGACATCCCCAGATCTCTGCCTTTGGTCTCTGGGATCAGCTCCCTGTGGCCCTCTCTTCAGCTACCTCTCCTGGCCAATTCCCTCCTTACCCCAGGGCCCGTAGTACGAGGGTGCGAGGGTATGGAGAGCCATTGATGTCTGCTGTTTGTGATAACGTTGACAACGTTTACAGATCACACAGGTCATTGCCTTGACGTCTCCATTTATACGGCTCTTGATCACATTTCCAGCTCTTGTGATCCCCCGATGCTGCATTTCTGGGCTGTGACTCACCCTAAGGTTGTCCCTACAGCTGTGGCTGAAATCCGGTCTTCTTATTCTAATGTCCCAAACCCCAAAACAGAACTATCATGTAGAATGACTAATGGATGGGCCGTGAGACAGGAGGGTAGCTAGCACCACGGCTAGTCCCCTGCCTCAGCTGAGTGAGGGCCTTGGCCTTGTCTCCAGGAGGATTGAGGGTTCCCTGGACCAGCCACGTTCCCACTCCCAGGTACCCTGTACTGAAGACTGGTCCAGAGGCAGCAGATGGGCCACAGAGAGAAGGAAGGGACAGCACAAAGGATGCCCCTCCCCAACATGCAGGAGCAGCTAGACCATGCCCTAACCCATCTTCAAAGCCATCTGGCCCACAGACAGCATGCTTTTATCCTCTGGGATTGCATTTCCAGTCTTATGAACAGAAGTTCCCAGAAATTCCCCTCTTACATACACACACAGGCATGTAATAGGCATCACACACTGAGTGTGTATGCATGTCTGTGCCCGAGGGTATATGTGTGTGTGTTCATGTATGTATGTGTATGCAGTATATGTGCACATGTATGTGCAGGCGTGTCAGGAGGCCTGAGGAGGGAGTGTTGCATGCTGTACTCTTTCACTGTCCACCTTGTTTCTTTGATGCAGGGTCTCCCACTGAATCTGGAACTTTCAACCCCAAGGTCTTCCTGTCTCTGCCCCACTCAGTGCTGGGATTCAAGGCATGAGAGACCATGCCCAGACTTTTTATGCGGGTACTAGGGTCCAAATCCCAGTCCTTGCTCTTGCAGAACAAGCCTTCCTAAACACTAAGCTACCTCTCCAGCCCCCACATACTTTTTTAGAAATAATTAGGAACTACAGGTCTGAGAGTGAGCTCAGTTGGTTGAGTGCTTGCCTAGTGTGCATGTCTTTGGATCCCATAGGTCACATGACACTGCTGGTCCTGGCAATCTCAGCTCTGGTGTGACCTTTCAGGGTTACCTTCCTTGGTCTGGGGCACAGGACCCAGGAGCCAAGCCCGAGGAAGCAGTTGGCCAGGAGGTGGCAGCCCTCAGTCCCCATGAAACTTCATGGGTTCCAATACTGTCTTGGGGACTGCCTTTGTTTGAGTGTCTCCCGTTGTTCCCTTTGCAGAAGCAGATTTGAAGACTAATGACTTAAGGGTCTCTTGAAAGACACCATGGCCCTCTGGCAAGTGAAGACGGACACCCAGAACAGCCTCCAGTGACATGAGACCAACCAAGGTCCTGGGAATCTGAGGACCTGGCTTCAACCCCATGGCAACCCTCTTGAGCACAAGCCGGTAGTGGCCTCATGACCTCTGGGGTCCCCCCAGCTAGTGATGTCCCATCCACTTCTTGAAGTGTCTTTTTCTTGTTTTGGACTCAGATTAAAACTCCCCACATAATTGCTAACCCATGGGGTCTGAGGGCTGCCTGTTCTCTTTAGGCAGCCTCTGTTTCTGTCCCCCAGAGATTAGCACACAGGGGGCAGGAGTGTGTGTGTGGGGACTATCCAGAGATTTAAAACAGAAAAAAACAGAGCCTCTAGAGGAATCACTCACAAATGCTCATCCAGGCCAGCGGATAGCTCAGCAGGTGGAGTTGCTCACTGCCAAGTTTGATAACTTGAGTTCTGCCCCTGAGTTACACATGGTGGAAGGAGAGAGAAATGTCTTTTTAGAAAAGTCCTTCCCTCAAATGAATAAACATAAATAAAAATAATTTAAAAAGAAGTAGTCATTTTTCTATCCTGGATGAAGGTCACCTCCCCAGACCCTAGACCTCGAACTTCATACGCAGTGGGCCTTCCGGGATCCTCTCCTTTTCCTTCATAGCACAGCGATTTATATGGCTAGCTCCCTGGGTCAGCCAGGCAGACTGGGAAGGAAGTAATACACCTGGTTTATCTCCCCAGGACAGCACACAGGGCATGGGGCCCGGGTGTGTGTGTGTGCGCGTGCGTGCGTGCGTGCGTGCGTGTGTGTGTCTGTGTGTGTCTGTGTGTGTGTGTGTCTGTGTGTGTGTGCGCGTGCGTGCGTGCCTGAAAGGCAAGTCACCTCCTGCTCTCTGGCAAGCTGCTGGACTGAGCAGTGAGCCCACAGGGTCCTACCTACCTCACCCCTGGCCTTGGCTGTTCTTCAGAGCCTGGTGGAGATTCAGGGCAGGGAGCAGAAGAAAAGTGTGTTCTAGGCATGGAATGAAGAAGGCTCTGGGAACTGGCTCAGCACAATTACAGGGAAACAGGAAATATTGTGCTTCTCCAGCCCAAAGCTGTTCAGAGGGTGAGATGGTGGCAGGAGTGTGTGTGTGTGTGTGGTGTGTGGTGTGTGTGTGAGACACTGTGTCTGTATATGTATGTGTGTGTGTGAGTGACTGTATGTATTTATGTGTATGTAACTGTGTGAGTGTGTATGAGTGTGTGAGTATAGCTGTGTGTGTGTGTAAGCGTGTGTGAATGTGTATGAATGTGTATATGTGTGTGAGTGAGAGTGTAAGTGTGTGTGACTGTGTACATGTATGTGCGTGAGTGTGTATGAGACTGTGTATGTGTGTGTGAGTGACTGTGTGTATTTGTGTATGTAACTGTGTGAGTGAGTGTGTGAGTGCATATGTGAGTGTGTATGTGTGTAAGAGTGTGTGAGTGTGTTTGAGTGTGTATATGTGTGTGAGTGAGTGTGAGTGTGTGTGTGTCTGAGGGCCAGAGGCTGATCTCCAGGCCTCCTTTCTCACACAACTCTACTTCCTCTGTCACCTGGCTGGGCCATTCTCATCACCGTGCTGTCCGTCCACAGGTGCCCACTCTCCTCAGGCCCAGGTCTCTCTTCTCTTTCTCATCCTCCATCTGGAACCATTTTACCTTCTTTGGGTCCTACTCCCCCTCGCAGCCTGGTCTCCGCAGTGTGTTGATGTTGGTGACTGCAGGTTGTCATGGGTGCCCGAGGCCTGGTGTGGTTCCCAGCCTTCCTCTGTTTGGGTGACCCTGGCCAAATT